CAACAACCAACACTCACCACCACCAACAACAACAACAACACTCACCACCACCACCAACAACAACCAACACTCCACCACCACCAACAACAACAACACTCACCACCACCACCAACAACCAACACAACACCACCACCACCAACAACAACACCACTCACCACACCACCAACCAACAACAACACTCACCACCACCAACAACAACAACCAACAACCAACAACAACACTCACCACCACCAACAACAACAACACTCCACCACCAACAACAACAACAACACTCACCACCACCAACAACAACACTCACCACCACCACCAACAACAACACTCACCACCACCAACAACACTCACCACCACCAACAACAACAACCACCACCACCACCAACAACAACACTCACCACCAACAACAACACTCACCACCACCCAACAACACCACCACCACCAACAACAACAACACTCACCACCACCAACAACAACCACCAACAACAACACTCACCACCACCAACAACAACCTCACCACCACCAACAAACATCAACACTCCCACCACCACCAACAACAACCAACAACCAACAACCAACACAACAACAACACTCACCACCACCACCAACAACAACCAACCAACAACAACAACCACAACCAACAACAACACTCACCAACAACACAACCAACAACAACACTCACCACCACCAACAACAACAACAACACTCACCACCACCAACAACAACAACACTCACCACCACCAACAACAACCAACACTCACCACCACCAACAACAACAACACTCACCACCACCACCACCAACAACAACAACAACAACAACAACAACACCAACAACAACAACAACACTCCACCACCACCACCACCAACAACAACCCAACACTCACCACCACCACCAACAACAACAACACACACCACCACCAACAACAACAACACACTCACCACCACCAACCAACAACAACACTCACCACCACCACCAACAACAACAACAACAACAACACTCCACCACCAAACAACAACAACAACACTCACCACCACCAACAACAACAACACTCCACCACCAACAACAACAACACCACCAACAACAACAACACCAACAACAACACTCACACACCACCAACAACAACAACACTCCACCACCAACAACAACAACAACACCAAACAACAACAACACTCCTCACCACCACCAACAACAACAACAACAACACTCACCCACCACCAACAACAACACTCACCACCACCAACAACACAACACTCCACCACCACCACCAACAACAACAACAACAACCTCACCACCACCACCAACAACAACAACAACCACCAACAACCACCAACAACAACAACACTCACCACCACCACCAACAACAACACTCACACACCACCAACAACAACACTCCACCACACCAACAACAACAACACTCACCACCCCAACAACAACAACACTCACCACCACCACACCACCAACAACAACAGCACTCCACCACCACCACCAACAACAACAACACTCACCACCACCAACAACAACACTCACCACCACCACCACCAACAACAACAACACTCACCACCACCAACAACCAACACTCACAACCACCAACCAACACTCACCACCACCACCAACCAACAAACAACACTCACCACCACCACCAACCAACACTCCACCACCACCACCAACAACACTCACCACCACCACCAACAACACTCACCACCACCACAACAACACACTCACCACCACCACCAACAACAACACTCACCACCACCACCAACAACACACCTCACCACCACCAACAACCAACCTCACCACCACCACCAACAACAACACTCACCACCACCACCAACAACAACCTCCACCACCCACCAACAAACAACACCTCACCACCACCACCAACAACAACACTCACCACCACCACCGCCACCAACAACCACCAACCACCAACAACAACAACCAACACTCACCACCACCAACAACAACAACACTCACCACCACCAACAACAACCAACAACACTCACCACCCCAACAACAACCCCACCACCACCAACAACCAACACTCACCACACCACCAACAACAACCAACCTCACCACCACCACCAACAAACAACACTCACCACACCACCAAACAACCAACACTCACCACCAACAACAACCAACACTCACCACCACCAACAACAACAACCACCACCAACAACAACAACACTCACCACCACCACCAACAACAACAACACTCACCACCACCACCAACAACAACACTCCACCACCACCAACAACAACAACACTCACCACCACCACCAACAGCACTCACCACCACCACCAACAACAACACTCACCACCACCAACCAACAACCACAACACCACCACCACCAACAACACTCACCACCACCAACACCACACCACCACCACCACCAACAACCAACTCACCACCACCAACAACACCACCACCACCACCACCAAACAACAACCTCACCACCACCACCAACAACACCTCACCACCACCACCACCACCACCAACAACAACACTCACCACCACCACCAACAACACTCACCACCACCAACAACAACCACCACCACCACCACCACCAACAACAACCTCCACCACCACCAACAACAACAACACTCACCACCACCAACAACAACAACCCACTCACCACCACCAACAACCACCTCACCACCACCAACAACAACACTCACCACCACCAACAACCTCACAGCAAACAACAACAACCTCACCACCACCAACAACAACAACACTCACCACCACCACCAACAACAACACTCACCACC